TTATGTTTGTTTCGCCAGTTAATCACTTATCATATATGAAGTTCGTTGGTGAATAAAGGAGTACTTTAGCTATTTCTTGAAAAATTTATCGTTCTGTGTTTACTTTGAAAAATTCCTTGAGTTTTCCTATGGATTAAGAAGTCTACAAATACAAGTATAGAATGACCAAACAATGGAACTGAAAATATCAACGATATTTTGTTATATTCTCATACTAAAGCAGAGAAAGCTGTTAGGACGTGGTAGATTACGTGTATTTTGCAGAGTCCCTGTTGTTTGATTGTTTACAATCTCAGTGGTTCCTACCAACTTGCTATCATGTCAACGAACATTCTTAGACAATTATCTCTTGTTCTTGTTTAGACTAAAATATGGGAGAATGATTGTTCCTTGCTGTTATGATCTACTTTTGCCAAACATGTGTTCTTTTAAGGTGCAATACTTCAGTTCAGTTCATCAGCCCCTTGTCCACTTACTGAAGCTATTATACCGTGAAGAGGCCCCTGCATCCGCCCTCCCTCCCAGTACCAACCTATTGGAGATTGTTGCCAAGCACACACAAGCAAAAAATATGGATTGTATCACATGTAGCACCTGCCTTTGGAGTTAGAAAAATTAGAATTTTTTTCAAGCTCTTAATATCCACATCCTGAATATTAGCGTAGGCTAAATTCTTATTGGAACTTCTATTTCTTTGGGTGGTCTTAATCTGACCCAGATCAAGTTGTTAATTTCTGATGCAAAGGCCCTCTAAAGGTTCATTAGCATAATCCTTAACTTCGAAGCTTTCAGGAATTATTATAACACTCTTTAGGTAACGTAGCGGCTAGGAAGCACAAATACTTTTGTATGTCCGACACGGATAGAAGTGTCTTGCATAGTGAATTTAGTCAGACACGGCCAACACACGACTAGGACACGGTCAAGACATATCTCATGACTTTTAATTATTAAGAGGGGTGTATGATTTCTTTATTTTGTTTGTGTTTTTTGTTATGTAATTTATGGACTATGAATGTTAATTGATGTAATGATGTTTAATCAAAATGGTGAATGTTTATTTTGATATATTTCAATTTTAATCAAAAAATTAATATTTGCTAGGTCTTATTATTAATATTGTTATAAAATATGCTTTGTGTTTAATATAATTATTATCTAAAAAATATATAATATTATTTTAAATAGCCTGGATACGACACCCATGTCTATATCTATGCTTCCTAGCATAGCGGGCATTGGTATTGGCCCCACCAATCCCATGACACTCCAAAATAATGGTGCAAATCACCTGTAATGGATGGCTGCAACGGGCAACAGGCTGTTACGACCCCACTTGATAAGGCCCAATCTCCAAAAGTTCAAGATCAGAAATTAGCAATAAAACAGCAAGAAACTAGCCAGAAACCTGTGGTTTCAGCTTGCTACTATTCAGACACAGAAATTTTCTTCCTAAAATCCTTTCCTCCTCAATCCCAACTTCAATCACACTATTTGTGACTTCTATAGCATCCACCACCACGCAGGCTTTCTCAAAAAGGTGAATCATGTGATACCACCTTCAAGGACTTTGAAGCAATGCTACCATTGAGTGTCCTCTCATGCAAGATCAAGCTTTTTACACTGATACCAACTCGTAGAATAGGGCAGATTGTACTCTATAGATGCAAAGTGCATGCATATACGTAGTATGAATATGAAGAAAGTGGGTTTCAGTATTCCTACCAATTTTTTTCCAAAATAGTCCTTGGGGATATTCTTCTTTCTTTTTCCGTAACCTAACATTTGTTATTCCGCATGCCTCGCCAAATGATTCTGTATTTGTAATATGATTCACAATGTTTACAAATCTTTCCCTATATCTCCTGTAACATGAAGTCTATTCAAATTGACCCAGGTATGTGTGAAATCACTAAAAAATCTAGATTATTCTGAATTTGAGTCTAAACTGCATGTATAAATTTTTGAGGAAGGCGTGAATGGGAAAAAAATTAATCCCTCTGGTTTCTGTTACCGCCACATAACATCCATTAGGCCAAGCATCCATTACACCCTGACCAGTACAGTTATGGAGGTTGTTATTGTTATTTAAAACCTTGCAGTTTTTGTCTTTGTTTCTCTTTTAGCTCTTCAATCTACTGCGATGTATATTTATTTGGATGGTATCTCATAGTTCAGAATCATAGGTGGGCTAATTCATTTTGGTAATTCACCTCACCCTAATCAGCCACCTTAAATTTCTAGTCTTATTGTAAAGAAAATATTCTTCTGTTGGAGGATGTTTTGTTTTCTTATACTGATTCGCAATTTCTCATCCTAGTCAATTTGAGAATTTTTTTATCTCATTATTCTGCCAGGCATCTCAAGCATGGATGGAGTGGCTTATGAAAAAGCGAAAAGCTTTTGATCAACGGGGTGATATGGCAATTGCTGCTTGGGCTGAACAGCAGCAACGTGAGATGAATCTCCGTGCACGCCGGCTCTCTCGTTCAAAGGTATTAAAATCATGTTTAATATTTCTGCAGTGGCTCAAATCATTGCTGGAACTCCTAATCTTTCAAACATTGAGTACCATCCCTACTTAATAGATATTATATTTCCCATAATTTAGTTATAGATATAGTGGGGTACAACTATTTTTGTTTTCTAGCATGAGTCAACTTACTGTTATCGAGTTTTAAACTATCCAAAGACTATAATTTCAATTTAATTAAAATGAACTTTTTTTTAGAACGTCTAACAGAACATGGAGGGATGAAGGACCCCCCTCGCCCCCCCTTCAAAAAAAAAAAAGGAATAAAAAAAAACTTTATTCTGTTTGTTCATCTTTACATACTTTACGCGACAATACCAGTATGCAAAAGCATTTACGGGGATTATGCTGAAAACTGAATGAGTACTGTTCTAACATCATGGAAATATTCTGCAGTTTATCGAAGGGAAGCAACGTCTATTTTATTGGTTGATTTGTAGTTCATTTGTTATTTGAATGCTACTTTAAGTTACAGCATTATTATGCTAACGCATTCATCTTATAGGCCACCATATTGAGATATAAGGATAAACACATCATCTGATAGATTTAATCACTGTTTCCTCACCAAATGGTTTTTTAGCCTGATCAAATAAGCAATATGGCTCTTCAAATTCTTTTTGCTAATGTTTACTGAACGTGCATCTTCTTGGATGGACTTTCAGATTGATCCAGAGAAGGAGGAGAAGAGAAGGACTGGATCAATCTGAAAGTCCATCCAAGAAGATGCACGTTCAGTAAACATTAGCAAAAAGAATTTGAAGAGCCATATTGCTTATTTGATCAGGCTAAAAAACCATTTGGTGAGGAAACAGTGATTAAATCTATCAGATGATGTGTTTATCCTTATATCTCAATATGGTGGCCTATAAGATGAATGCGTTAGCATAATAATGCTGTAACTTAAAAGTAGCATTCAAATAAACAAATGAACTACAAATCAACCAATAAAATAGACGTTGCTTCCCTTCGATAAACTGCAGAATATTTCCATGATGTTAGAACAGTACTCATTCAGTTTTCAGCATAATCCCGTAAATGCTTTTGCATACTGGTATTGTCGCGTAAAGTATGTAAAGATGAACAAACAGAATAAAGTTTTTTTTTATTCCTTTTTTTTTTTGAAGGGGGGGCGAGGGGGGGTCCTTCATCCCTCCATGTTCTGTTAGACGTTCTAAAAAAAAGTTCATTTTAATTAAATTGAAATTATAGTCTTTGGATAGTTTAAAACTCGATAACAGTAAGTTGACTCATGCTAGAAAACAAAAATAGTTGTACCCCACTATATCTATAACTAAATTATGGGAAATATAATATCTATTAAGTAGGGATGGTACTCAATGTTTGAAAGATTAGGAGTTCCAGCAATGATTTGAGCCACTGCAGAAATATTAAACATGATTTTAATACCTTTGAACGAGAGAGCCGGCGTGCACGGAGATTCATCTCACGTTGCTGCTGTTCAGCCCAAGCAGCAATTGCCATATCACCCCGTTGATCAAAAGCTTTTCGCTTTTTCATAAGCCACTCCATCCATGCTTGAGATGCCTGGCAGAATAATGAGATAAAAAAATTCTCAAATTGACTAGGATGAGAAATTGCGAATCAGTATAAGAAAACAAAACATCCTCCAACAGAAGAATATTTTCTTTACAATAAGACTAGAAATTTAAGGTGGCTGATTAGGGTGAGGTGAATTACCAAAATGAATTAGCCCACCTATGATTCTGAACTATGAGATACCATCCAAATAAATATACATCGCAGTAGATTGAAGAGCTAAAAGAGAAACAAAGACAAAAACTGCAAGGTTTTAAATAACAATAACAACCTCCATAACTGTACTGGTCAGGGTGTAATGGATGCTTGGCCTAATGGATGTTATGTGGCGGTAACAGAAACCAGAGGGATTAATTTTTTTCCCATTCACGCCTTCCTCAAAAATTTATACATGCAGTTTAGACTCAAATTCAGAATAATCTAGATTTTTTAGTGATTTCACACATACCTGGGTCAATTTGAATAGACTTCATGTTACAGGAGATATAGGGAAAGATTTGTAAACATTGTGAATCATATTACAAATACAGAATCATTTGGCGAGGCATGCGGAATAACAAATGTTAGGTTACGGAAAAAGAAAGAAGAATATCCCCAAGGACTATTTTGGAAAAAAATTGGTAGGAATACTGAAACCCACTTTCTTCATATTCATACTACGTATATGCATGCACTTTGCATCTATAGAGTACAATCTGCCCTATTCTACGAGTTGGTATCAGTGTAAAAAGCTTGATCTTGCATGAGAGGACACTCAATGGTAGCATTGCTTCAAAAGTCCTTGAAGGTGGTATCACATGATTCACCTTTTTGAGAAAGCCTGCGTGGTGGTGGATGCTATAGAAGTCACAAATAGTGTGATTGAAGTTGGGATTGAGGAGGAAAGGATTTTAGGAAGAAAATTTCTGTGTCTGAATAGTAGCAAGCTGAAACCACAGGTTTCTGGCTAGTTTCTTGCTGTTTTATTGCTAATTTCTGATCTTGAACTTTTGGAGATTGGGCCTTATCAAGTGGGGTCGTAACAGCCTGTTGCCCGTTGCAGCCATCCATTACAGGTGATTTGCACCATTATTTTGGAGTGTCATGGATTGGTGGGGCCAATACCAATGCCCGCTATGCTAGGAAGCATAGATATAGACATGGGTGTCGTATCCAGGCTATTTAAAATAATATTATATATTTTTTAGATAATAATTATATTAAACACAAAGCATATTTTATAACAATATTAATAATAAGACCTAGCAAATATTAATTTTTTGATTAAAATTGAAATATATCAAAATAAACATTCACCATTTTGATTAAACATCATTACATCAATTAACATTCATAGTCCATAAATTACATAACAAAAAACACAAACAAAATAAAGAAATCATACACCCCTCTTAATAATTAAAAGTCATGAGATATGTCTTGACCGTGTCCTAGTCGTGTGTTGGCCGTGTCTGACTAAATTCACTATGCAAGACACTTCTATCCGTGTCGGACATACAAAAGTATTTGTGCTTCCTAGCCGCTACGTTACCTAAAGAGTGTTATAATAATTCCTGAAAGCTTCGAAGTTAAGGATTATGCTAATGAACCTTTAGAGGGCCTTTGCATCAGAAATTAACAACTTGATCTGGGTCAGATTAAGACCACCCAAAGAAATAGAAGTTCCAATAAGAATTTAGCCTACGCTAATATTCAGGATGTGGATATTAAGAGCTTGAAAAAAATTCTAATTTTTCTAACTCCAAAGGCAGGTGCTACATGTGATACAATCCATATTTTTTGCTTGTGTGTGCTTGGCAACAATCTCCAATAGGTTGGTACTGGGAGGGAGGGCGGATGCAGGGGCCTCTTCACGGTATAATAGCTTCAGTAAGTGGACAAGGGGCTGATGAACTGAACTGAAGTATTGCACCTTAAAAGAACACATGTTTGGCAAAAGTAGATCATAACAGCAAGGAACAATCATTCTCCCATATTTTAGTCTAAACAAGAACAAGAGATAATTGTCTAAGAATGTTCGTTGACATGATAGCAAGTTGGTAGGAACCACTGAGATTGTAAACAATCAAACAACAGGGACTCTGCAAAATACACGTAATCTACCACGTCCTAACAGCTTTCTCTGCTTTAGTATGAGAATATAACAAAATATCGTTGATATTTTCAGTTCCATTGTTTGGTCATTCTATACTTGTATTTGTAGACTTCTTAATCCATAGGAAAACTCAAGGAATTTTTCAAAAGTAAACACAGAACGATAAATTTTCAAGAAATAGCTAAAGTACTCCTTTATTCACCAACGAACTTCATATATGATAAGTGATTAACTGGCGAAACAAACATT